GCAGGGCACGGCGGCGGGCGCGGGCGGCGGCGCGCGGCGCGGGCGGCGGCGGCGTTCGGCCCTCCATGTGACGGGTGCGGCCCAGGCAATCGAGCGCGCTGCCGAGAGAGCGGGCCTCCGCACCGCCGGCGGGAGGTAAGTGGACGAGCGAGGGCCGCTCGCCGCGTCCGGCGGCGGGGTCCGGCGAACGGCGGGCACCCGGCGGTTCGCCCCTCATCTCGGGCGGGAGGGGAGCGGAAGCGCGCAGAGCCATTTTGTGCGAGGGCCGGCGCCCCGCGGGGAGCCTCCTACCCCGCCCTTGGCTGCGCCGCGCCCCGGCGCCGTCCGCCTCGGGGAAGGCGGGAGGGGGCGGGCAGGGCCGCAGTGGGGTCTGCGGCTGCGGCGGGCCTGGGCCGCGGGGCTCCGCTCAGGAGGCGGGGCTTGGCCTTGGGGAGGGGAGGGGCGGGCGCCGAGGCGGTGTGAAATCATCCCGCGGCGGAGCGTGAAGCGTACGTAAGTGCGTGTGTGTGGGGTTGTGTAGGGGGTATGCTTTTTTTCCCCACCCCCCTTCTCGCGGACGCCCAGAAGCTTCGCCGGGGTTTCCCCACAGCATTCATTTACATATCATTAAAGTAACTGGCAGTTACTTGAAGTATAATTAGGAAAGCAGCAGCTTGCTCGCATCTGATGCTTAACTACTTAGCTTTTTGACTTCTTTTTCCTGTCTAAATCCTCAACTGATAAAAGTTTTCAGTAAAAGCTGTGCAGGCTACCAGGGTTTCCAAAAACAAGGTGTGCTTTCTCCATTTTGGGCTTCTTGTGTTTAAACTGCCATAACAACCCTGATGAAATCCTATAAAGCCTCTGTCAGTGGCCATGTTCTCATTAAATACAGGGCGTAACTTTATATTGAGAAGATGCAGAGAGAATGAGATGTAACAGCTGACATTGCCCAAACAATTGTGGAAGTGCTTAGCTGGGATACTGTGGTTAAGCTGTTCATCATGTAAATGAACTTTAAAAGAAGGTTATATGGAAACGTTGTTTTCATTGTTTTTTTCATTATAGAAAATTACACTTACTGTGTTCTTGAAAAACATTTCAGAACTGTGTGGCAGAGATCAGCTCTTTTTCAGAGGGCAGGTGAGCGATGAAGAGTGCCTTACTGCGCAGCACTTGGAAAGCCACTGAGTTGAGTTTAGAGTGAAAGTTTCAGCTGTCGTGTTACTGACAGTAGTGCATAAATGTATGTCTAAGAAAGATAAGATAAATCGCTGTGACAACTGAGTGTTATGATCAGCCTGATGCTCATAGTGCTTCTGGAAAACACTGGGACTGACAGTACAGGTTCAGTCCATGCCAAAAATAAATTCCTGATCTCTTTTTCGAGTCACTTTAGATCCCCAAGTTTACATGGGAATTGGGGGTTGAAATTCACACATACAGGAAGAGCACTGTTACCTATCTGTATATGTAGTCAGCCTACGTTTTCCGAGATAACTTGTTGAATGCTGTTAGTAAACTTTTTTGTGGTGGTGTTTTTATATCTATCACTGCAAAGATAACATGTGATAGTAAAACTACCTTCTGTAATGCAGTGGCCTGTAACATCCAGCTTCCTCACTGTTGCTGAAGGATCTTCAATAGGTGGCAAGAGATAGTTTTGTTGTGAATATTGGAGTAGAGGTGTGCTGCTGATGTAGAGAGCTGAGTATTGGGATCTTGTGCTTACCCTGGACATGCAAGGTAGCCCAGGCTTAGACAGAACATCAAACTTATATTTTCTCCACACTTGTTGCAGCACTCAAGTGTTTGTAAGTTACATGCTCCTGAGCATTCATGAGCCAAGTATTTGGGCAAACTCAGCTTTTTTTGGCATTTGCATGCTTCTGTTACTTTTTGGAGGAACATGCAATTAAATAATTGCATCGTCTGCGCGTGATTTAATTGGTGCTAGTTGTAGTTGTAGCTTTCTTGAACATAGGAAATGGTGCTTCTCTCTGGCAAGGGCTCAGAATCACAGAATCGCTCAGGTGGGAAAGGCCTTAGAGATCATCAAGTCCAACCATGACCTAACCATACTGCCTAGCAATCTTCTGTTAAATCGTGTCCTTGAGAACCACATTCAAATAGTTTTTAAACACATCCAGGGATGGCAACTCATCCACTTCCCTGAAGAGCCTATTCCAGTGCTTAACAACCCTTTCTGTAAAGGATGCACTTGAATGGTGCTCATGTTTTCAAGGCTGGTACTTCCAAATACAGAAGCAGTGAAAGATTCCTAAACATTTTTAGTAAAATTGTAATTGAAGTAATAGGCGACTTAAATACAGGGGTCACTAGCATTCTTCTTCTAATTCTAAGTTATTCTGTATTGGATTGAATGAGTGAGTTGAGCACCATTGAGTTCGTATTTAGCCTCTTGAATATATTCAAGGTACGCGTTAAGTGAAGCAGGAGCTGTGCCAGAAGTTAAAGCACTGGGGAGTGGGGAGGAGAGGCCTTTCTATCTTGGGGAAGCACTTCAATGTCTGTCATGAAGGCTAGGAACAGGAAACTGCCATTCATCAGTGAGATTCTTTTTCTGCATGTTTTTAGAGCCATTCCCATGGATTCTGATGTCAGTTTCTATCTTATGAAGGGCTTAGAATCTGTTTCTTCTGTGTGCTCTGCTTGCTGTCTTAAGACAGTTGTTTTTTTTTTTTTTTTTTTTAAACTTTATTTGAAGGGAGTTCTGTATATTTATCAGTGGTTAGTAGGTTTGTGTAAGGTGAAGTGATGGTGCTTCATGTGGCATGTCTTGTGTTATTGATGGTAATGGGGCTCTTAGGATTTGTAGAAGTTAAATTAGTTCACTGGGTGCCTTTGTGAATATACTTTATGAATATGCTTTGTGTGAGTCTTTTTGAGAACAGTTTTTTGAATTGAAGTGCGTTGTTTTCATGAAGTTGTGCTCGTGACCAAGGAATTGGCCGCATACTTTTTCTAGTATGTATGAGTAGCAGCAGCTTTACAAACCTGTCCAATCTCAATGCTGTTTGCAGCTTTTTATTGGAAGGCACATTGCAAAGATGCATGCCTTTAAAGAAGTTCAACTTCCTTGTTAAATATGCTTTAATGCTGTACGTTTAAGAGTTTTTGAGGGCTTGGTTTTTAATGTTATTACTTGTTAAAAAACTGTGTGCAGGTGAGGAAGCATGTCCAGTAACTCAAGGAAGTGTGAATATTTAACTTAGCACAAATACAATCCAATTGTGGTACAAACACACAAGACAAATTAAATTTGATAGTGTACACCAGCCATTAACTGACATGCTACCTTCCCTAAAAATAACTGAGGGCTAAGTAACTGCTTAATATTTATTTATCACTATCTTAAAGGTAGTGTAAGAGTTGAAAGCACATAATGTAACCCAAACTTTACAGATGATTTTTACAATGTTCCCAAATCAGTTGCTTTATTCTAAAATGGTGCTGAAGTAGTAGTATTAATTGCTTTTGTAGTTGATGTTATCCCCTTCCTTGGGAAACATTGCATTAAATAGTTTTGGACATACAAGAAATGTCACTTTGCCTACGTTTATATAAATTGATAAAGTCTGATGTTTTGTTCTTAGTGAAGTTGAAAAGTATTACTAGTAGCGTTTTTAGATGCTAAAGAAAGCTTTGGCTCACTTCTAGGAAGTAGTCCACTGACTTTTTATCTCGATGACAACAGTAAACTTGTCATAGTTGTAATCTGGCTGTATGTTGTATGGAGCCAACATGTCAGTAATTTAGTATCAGAAATAGAGAAATGAAGAGTAGAAGTACAGGTGTCTGATGACTGTTTCATACGCAATAGTAACTAAACTAACGCTCCTTTTCCCCCCTTCAGAGTTCACAATGACGAATGAAGAACCTCTCCCAAAGAAGGTATGTTTAAAAATATTTGTGGCCCCCCTGCTCCCCCCGCCCCAGATAGTCATGATAACTTGGTAAGTTGTGCTTCTCCTTTTGCTCCACAGGTTCGTCTTAGTGAAGCAGATTTTAAAGTTTTGCCTAGAGATGAACTTATCCTAAGGTAAAGCATCAGTTTTGTTCTTTTCCTATGGCAACACTTTATTGAATTCTTTACAGAAGATGTAATGTACCCTTCTCTTGGTTTTCAGCACTCTTGTTCTGAAAACCGATAGCATTTTCACAGTGCATCTTTTTTTAATGCTTTCATACTTGAAATATTTTTATATGTAGTTTGTGTCCTTCAGGAAAAATTGTTTCCCCTCAAAGTCCTGGAAAGTGTTTTCTAATCCATAAGTAGGAGTTGTTTTTTCTTCACTTGCAGCTTTAGAAGTCAAGGTTGCATACATTCCTTGCTAGATAGCAAGTTATTTTTAAACATCACAAAAAGTAACTGCTGCAGGACTCTCCTAGTCCACACAGTTGTCTTCTCAGCACATTCAGGTATTAGCAGTAAAATGTCAAATTTTACTGATTAGCACACAAAACTTGCATATAGAAGAGCCCAGTTATGTTTTTCACCTTACAGAAAATTAAGGGTTGCCATGGAAAACACATCAATGATTCTGTCACATAGACCACTTGATTAAAGAAACAGACCAAGGCACAGGTATACAGAGCCTGTGTATCTGAATTTTCTGATTGATAAACAAGGGACTAAATGAATCTGTGGGTCATTCATTTATCTGGTAGAGTAGTTTGTGCATTTTGAAAAGCTTTAGCTCTTGACTTTTTGTGCATTGTAAGTTATTTGCATTATTACAGTCTCCTGAGGTGGTTAAATGTTAGCATTTCACAGATGAGTTTAAAGGGCTAAATTGTGTAGGAATGTAAGAACACAGGTCCAACACAGCTGGTACTACTTCTGCTAGCCAATACTGGAGTGACATTTATTCCATTGGGGATCAGCATCATCCTTCGTATGTTTCAAACTGGTCTCTGGCTTCATCTCCTCAATATCTATTCTTTTGGAGTGAAGAGGAAGGTGTTTACACAGAAAAATGCTGCTTTTGGGTGGTTTAGTTCTTGGGAATCTCTAACAGAAATTTTCATACTCAAGAATATCTCTGGGGATGTTCTTGATTGCTTTCTGCCTTAGAAGTTGATACCTGTTTATTAAAAGGAGAATACGGTGGAATCTGCCCAAGGAGCTGAAGTGTGTCAGCAAATAAACTGAGTTGGTGAAGAGACAGAAGGCAATGGACTGATGACAGCCGTGTTGTTATTGTCTTCCTCTTAATGTGAATGAAACAACTTCTGTACTCAGAAAGGCCTTATTGCTTTAAGGAGAGTAACTGTCCTTATGTAATGCCATCCTGGCCATGTCCATTTTGTTTGCGTTCAGCAGTTCTGCAAACACTCTTCAAAATTTCATCTATGTATGTAAAGGATTTACACTAATCTTGATTTTGTTCATGGCTTCATATGAAGCTGGCAATTACTGCACTTACTGCTAACTTCATTTGTAGGTTGGAATAAAATGTTACGCCATTATGCAAGTATCATTTTAATTGAAGGCATCTCCACTGCTTTTAGGCATAGAAAAATGTGCTGACCCCTACCACATCATCTTAAAATAAGATGGAGAGTGTTTGTGGGTTTTTTTCCCCACGCTGCAATGGGGCATATGCTTTTAAAATACTGGTGTGTCATCTATGGTTTGTTCTTACAGCTGATGTGTTATCTCTGTGCGAGTTGAGTTGCTAAACTGCATGTGTGGAAAATACTAATGCTTTCTGTCACTTCCTCTGTGTTGTGTTGAAACTTCACTAATATTTTCCACACAGCTTGTAATTGAGGTTTGCTGTTGCTTCCACTGACTGAAAGTGAGCAGGAGCAACAGGATTTGTCTGGCCTGTGGGGCATTTCCTTGTCTTGTTGCAGCTGTGGTATCACCTGTTTATCTTCTTCTCCTCTGCAGTAGGATAGCTCCTGTCAGTCTGGGAACAAGGAAGAGCCAGGAACATGATAGCAAAGCGCTCTGTAGATCGTAGCTTTAAAAAACTTATCTGAATTCCCTGGGCTGTTCAGCTTAGTGGTCAGTATGCTGAAGTGCCTATATTTACTCAAGCAGTGGGTGAAATACAGTGCCTTCACTGACTTCTACTCAGTGTGTCACACAGCCAGTCAGTTTTGGAATGGCTTAGGCTCAGCGCTGTTTCTTCCTTCAGTTTGGCTTCAGAAATGTTCTCGAAATGTTTTGTTGATACGGTCTGTAAATGTTTTGACTTTAAGAAAAATTGATAATTACTGTGACGTGTCAGGTATTTTTGTAGCTAAAGAGCTGCAACTGCAAATTGAGTTGAAAAGAAAAGGGTGGGCCAATGAACTGCTTGTTTCATGCAGATAATTTTAAATTTCTGTTATTTCATTTTCTGTTTGGATGCTTTTAGTAGGTTGTTTTAATGGTTTAAAAGAGGTCTAATTGTATGAAATGAACCTGCTTTGGATTTTTGTCTTTGTAAATGCTAGCTTTTTGGTTTGCCCGAAGGGAGGTAAAAGTTTCATCCCTGGAACAGAGTTTGAGATCTGTAGTTGTACCAGAATTACTGAGACCGTGTTCATGTACAACACTGAAGCTGCTTTAGTAGAAAGCCTCTGATTTTTGAACTTGATTGCCAGAGTTTTCTCTGTCAGTGTGGTGATCACAGGTTTATTCTGTACAGTTTCTTAAACATACTTTCAGAGGAACTGCTGCAATATTTGCCAGGTTTTGTCTGTTTTGACAGGGCATAGGTCATTTTGTCTTGAAGGTCATGTTTCTGGAGGAGCTGGGAGTCACGCGACTTGGAAAGTCCATGACATGTTCTAATACGGTCTCTGTTCTTTTCCAGGAATTGAGTTCTTGCTTAAATGCTAGGACTTACTGAGAGGTGATCTAGAGATGGTAGCTCTGACTTGTGTGGTGACCGCAGGCCGTGTGTTTTCTTTCTGATGGTAGTCTGTTACATCTGCCTGTCTTGTGTTTCAGGGCTTTGTTTTGCTCACTTTGTATAGCTCCTGTTACTGATCAACAGATCTCAGTTTTGACAGAGCTGTTGTTTTCAGGCTGTGAGAGAACTCTGCCAAGTAATGCTGCATTTAAAGACTTGCTTTTTTATTCTTTCATGTAATCAATTCATGCAAAGTACAGGTTCTTTCTGTGTTTGCTGTTTAGTAGACTATTTCCCTTTTTGAGGGCTGTCATTCTGACTGAATGCTGTACTTGCAGTGGTCAAACTATGAAACCTTTGTTTCTAACCAGAGGTGTTTTTTTTAAAAGCAGCTAAAACAATAAGTTTAAGGGTTTGGTGGGAGTGCTGCTACTCTCCTGCAGATCTTAAATGTGCTCATTGCTGATTCACCTAAAGATACATATATATATTTACTGCTAGAAGGAATCTTCTGCATGCTTTTGTGTTGCTCAGTGATGTGATCTCACATGCTGATATAGATCAGGTGCTTCACAGGCCATTTCTAGACTGCTTGTTTATGAAACCATTCAGGTCTTATAGTTTAGAGGTAAGAATGTTGTAGGTTGGGAAGTAGTTATGATGGGTCTGGCATAAAATGTTGGGGAGGAAAAGGGCAAATTGGGAGGGAGGGAAGAGAAACTGTCCATTTCTCTAGTGGCAATGTTTGTTAGGTGAGCTTATTTAACCTTGTGGAATGGTAATGGTGTGAAAAAGACATGCAGTCAGTAGTACTCCTGTGCTTCCCCCCCTAAATTAAACAAACAAAAAACCGCAACCTAAACGAACCCAATGGCAACAGCCAAACAGAAAGGACCAAAACAAAAGCAATAACAAAAAGCAGCAATGCACCATGCTTGTTGATGAGTCATGGTAAACTTTACTGTAGACTTTATTTGCTATTGTTGGTTTCTATCAAATGCAATGCTGTTTCTCAGTGTGAAGTTTTCTGAATCTGGATGCATCACATTAACAGCATAACTTTAAAGAGTTATTTAATTGGTTGGCTGTTCAGTAAATATGACCGGTATGGTCTTGCTTTAAATGAGCTGTAATAACTGCTTAACCTGGGCTGCAGGCTGTAGTGTACCACTGATAGATCATTCTACTTGCTCTGCTGTTCACTTGCTAACAGACGTGTATTATCCTTGTGTTACAACTTCTGTTACAGAGTTCTGTTTGCGTGGTTCCGCTTTGACAGTGAGAGGCTTCCTGGGTACTTAGCACAGATAACTAAGTAATAAGTCTGATTTGATTCTAGTGTTTGTCGAAAATGTTAGAAGTAGCTTCTAAGAGGTAAATTTTGAGTGAAAACAAAGAACTGTCTTTTATTGCGTGATTATCTCTTGATGTTTTCTGATTTTATAGTAATCATATAAGCTAAAAATTCAGGAATTAGATGCTTTGATTTTAATAAAAAAATATTTTTCTTTCTGCAATAGGTGGAAACAGTATGAAGCGTACGTGCAAGCTTTGGAGGGCAAGTACACAGACCTTAATTGTAAGTTAGCAAAGTTTCAAAATTGTGTGAGTTGCCTCAATGTTTTAAATGTTCGTGTAAAGCAGAGTGGTCAAACAATGTCATGTTAGTGTTAAAAATAATAAATGTTCATCATAAGTGCAATGTCATATTATTATTTTTTTCTAAGCAAAGTCCTTGTTTTTCCCAGTAGGAGTTTTCAGACTTTCCCAGTTTTTCAAGCAACTTCTTTTTCTTTGCCAATCTGAAATGACTTCTCAAAATTCTGTTTTTGCATTTGTGGACCATCAGTGCATGAACTGTTAGGCAAAAACACAACCCCACAGTTACCTCTATTTTCAGAATTCTTGCCGTGGTGGAAAGTTTTCCTCTATCAAAATACTGTGAATGTATGTGCTTTCTGTAATCTTACACAATTGTAAATCACATGGGAGGGAGAACAGTTCCTAAAGATCTAAAATGAATATCCAGCTGATTCTTTATCTGACTGGGTAATTTGAATTAACAATTTGAATGTCGATTTTATGTAATCTTTAAACTTTGGGCTGTACTTCAGTCTTTTGAAAGTGAGACTATTGGATAATTTCATCTTACTCTCAATTGAGAAGGTCTAAATGCATTTGGGAAGTGTCTGATTTACCAAGTCTGAAGTCAGTTTTGAAAAGTTATGTGAGCAGCTTGGGACTCTTCCTAAGTTTTCTGTTCACCTTGTCAGCCTCAATACCCAAAATCTTGGAAGCAGTAATTTTGAAGGGATTTCTTGTCAGTCCACGGATGTTCCCTCTTAACTCTGTTATGTCTCATCTATTGCCACATATGCAACAACAGCAAATTAGAAATAATAGTTCTGAAGCAAGTTGTGATGTTTATACTTAAAGCAGGTCTAGTACTTGTGTACAAAAAAAAAAAGGAAAAACATTAAAAAAAAAAAACCCTGACCTTAATTATTCCAGCTTTCAATCATAATATATTTGAAGGTAGCAGGGTAAATGTATTCTGTTTGTATCAGGCTGCTTGCAAGTGTTCCAGTTTTTGGATAACTTGGAACTGTGGCTTTCTTCCATATTTTGTATATTAATTTTTATGAATCTTCATGGATCAGAAGACATCCTTGTGTCTGATCTGTCATGTCTGAGGTTCTCCACTGACTTACTGTCACACTTAAAGTGTTGAAATCACTTTGAGAACTGATCACACGTGACACCACTTAAGACGTGGAATTTGTTACAAATGTCAGGAGAGTTTCAGCTTCCCCTGTTTCACAGTGCAAGCAATAGTGGTGAAGGATGGAGCAATTGTTTAATTAATCAAAATTTTATTCCTGTATAAAGCATGGGAACACTTCCAAATCTAGTAGTTAGGAAGGATAGCTGTATTTAAAATAGAACTTGTCAAGCTTTTTCAAGCACTTAATGATACTTTGAGCTCTTTGTTACTCATGCTTATAGTTGTGGTTAATTTAACTCTTTTGCTGCCAATGAATTTGACTGTCAGCTTTTTTTTTTTTTTTTTTTTTTTTTCAAGCTGTCTTGAAAAAGTGTTTGGGAAAGGATGCTTTAAAACCTGTGCTTTTTGTTGTATTAATTTTATCAGCTAATGATGTGACGGGATTGAGAGAATCTGAAGAGAAACTGAAACAACAACAGCAAGAATCTGCCCGAAGAGAAAATATTCTGGTCATGAGGCTGGCAACTAAAGAACAGGAGATGCAAGAGTGTACTGTAAGTATTTAGAAATAGGTGTTTTAGGCTGTTCCAGGAGTTAATGGAGAGTACTTATGCTGTGTGTTTCATGTATCTGTAGCATTATAGTTTCTGTAATTAAAAAAAGGCAGGGTACTTAAGCTTTCACTAAGTTAATAACTAACATTCTGTAAAGTGTTTTGTGTTGTTTTTTTAAAGATTGGTTATTTTGATTGATTTTCAGCAGCAGTTCTGCTTGGAAGAGCATTGTAATGCTCACTGTACATATTGACCATAAATGTTACTTATGACTCTTTGAATGCAGGAAGAAATTGAAACCTGAGGATAAGATTCATCATATTGGATTTTATTTAGAATTTTTCATGCTGATGTTTATGTTGTATTCAGATAACTGTCTTCTGCACCCATTTGGCTGGTTAGAGAGTGCTTTTGAAATGTATCAGATCTGCTTCTTGGATTTCTAATGTTCTTTGTACTGATGCCTTTGTTGTTGCTGTTGTTCTGTTTTCTCTCTCCTGTATTTCTGTTGGTCTTCTGTGTTTTGTTTTGGCTTCTTGAAACAACCTTTTGCCAGTTTGGGACTTCTCATGGTTTTGGATTATCTTAACTTCATTTGCATCTGCTTCTTTAACTGGCGGTTCCTGAGAGAGGACTGTAAAAAGCTTCTTAATGGTAGTTTTTGTAACATACTGAGAGCTTCTTTTAGGCAGAATATAAGCTCTCTGAAAAACCAGTAACTAGTTTTGTCACTTCTTGTTTTTTCCTTCTTTTATCCTTCCTTTCTTTTTTCCTGTAGGAGTCCTGAGCTGTCAGGTATTGCAATTAGTGTAAGATTTAGCCCTGTATGCTTTACTATCCTAAGACTGTAAGATGACAGACATTAGTCTGTACTGAGTATTTGTATAGAAAACAACAGAGTAAAAATTATTGTGCAGTGGTTAATAAATATATCAATGGAATTGAAGGGCTCTTGTGGATATTGTCTAGTCCAATCTACCAACTTAGAGCAGGGTCAGCTGGAGCAGGTTACTAAGAGCTAAGTCAGATTTTCAGTGCCTTCTGGAACGGAGACTCTACAATCTTTCTGGACACCCTGTGCAAAGCATTTTCTTATAGTTTAAATGGAATTTCTTGTATTTCATTTTGTGCCCATTGCCTTCTGTCCTTTCAGTGGGCATCAATGAGAAGAGCCTGGCTTCGCCTTCTTTACTCCCCCCACCAGGTATTTATGCACATTGGTAAGATCCCCCCTCAGCCCTTTTTTTTCCTCCAGGCTGAACAGTCCCAGCTCTCAGCCTCTGCTTGTGTGTCAGATGCTTCGAGCTCTTCGTTTTGTCCTTTATATAACCCTTCATTGGCTTCACCCTAGTATGCCCAATGTCTCTTACTGGGAAGCCCAGAACTGACAGTGCTCCAATTGTCTCACCAGTGCTGAGTAGAGAGAAAGAACGGCCTCCTTCAACCTGCTGGCAGTGTTCCTCCTAATATAGCCTGAGGTGAACATGCATATAGTTCAAAGAAGCATTGGAAGATTTCTTGGCTTATATTATCAGATGTTGTTTTCCCTGTAAAGTGACAGTAGCAAAATAAATTGTTAAATGTGAGCTGTAAAGCTAAGCTATAAGTTGCTAACTCATTTAATAGATGGACAAAAACTAGTCACCGTATCATAAATGAATGTGTCAAGTAACATATCCATAAAGTAACGTTCTTAATTTGTAGTGGTTTATTTGTAGTGTAGTAGTCTTAAGATTCATATATATGCAAAATATTCCTGTGGCACTGAATTATTTGTATGTAAACCTTTTCTATCACATCTTCAGTGTCTGTGTTGCCAGGTTTCTTAAAAATTGCAGGTAATTGTTTGCTGTATAATACCTAGTGACCATATTATTCTTAACGTATTTGGTGGGACAGCCTTTATTTGCACAAACTTAGCACATTTGAGTCTTGAAAATTTAAATGGAGAAAATTTAAAAGACTGTACTGTACCGTATTCAAAAGTAATAGTTTACAGATGTGGTTTTGCTGATTACCAAGGTGTAAACACTTTGCTACTTAAAATTCACTGGTCCTGTTTTAAATAGGATGTAATAGACTCTGTCTTGGTTCTCTTTTTAATTTTTACCCTTTTTTCATTAGTGACAAAACGCAGCAAAATCTCATCAGCTTATAAAAGTCACCAGTGTTTGCGAAGCTTTGCAGGCACGTGTGTCAGAGAAGCAATCACTTGATTATAATAATAATTGTTATGATTGTGATATTGAAGGGGCGTGATGGTAGTTGAGTGCATACTTCCTTTCTCTGTTGTGCTCTGTTCCCTGTCCGGTTGCAGAGTATATGGATTTCTTTTGAGGTAGGAGCTTACAGAGTTTGGTGTTGCAAACCTACTTTGTGTAGTTCAGATTGACTGCTTAAAGGACTGCTTTGTGGTTTATGGATTTGATATTTCAAATATCCCATCGTTCACAGCCACTCTTTTTTACCCACCTCCCACCCCTTTAAAAAAAAAAAGGCTGCTTATAGTAGGTAGGAAAGGACAGGTTAAGTATTGACTGCTGTCCCTACATAGAGCTTTACTTTTAGCAGAGATGGTGATTGTTACTTTAGGGAAGTGCTTTAATCCCCTCCTAAGATAATGCATAGCTGCTGGAGTAGACAGGCATTAGGAAGTGCTTGCTACTCAACAGCTTTTTGTGAAACAAAGAGCAGTAATGAACGTAAACTTGTAGATGTGGATGGATTTGTAGTACTGTGAAAGTAGTTATTATTAATTTTCTTCTGATTTAGATTACAAATTTGTTATTTTTTTCTTCATTATCACATTCCCTCCTTTCTGCTTCTTCCGTACACAAAGTATTTATATTCATGCTTACTCAGATGGCTTGTGCTTCTTGTCAAGCACTTGATTTCTGTTTAAGTACTTCATGTCAGAGTGTCTGTTCTTTGTGGATGTCTTCGGGCAGCCTTGCTGAGAGGCTTCAGCTGTTCTCTAGAATGTGAGAAGCAAAGTCTTAACTGAAAAAAAAAAAAAAAAGCCCACCCAAACTAAAATGCATGTAGCTTAGTGGAATACTTCAGCATTTTCTTGCCTTGAGTTTGAGCAAACAAGATTATACTGTAGTGATTCTGTCTGTGAAAATTCATCCCTATTTGTTCACCTTACAGACTTTTCAGAAGTATTATCAGTGCTTCAGGAATGTGAACAGTCAAGAGGTATTTTTAGGTGTTTGAGTGGACGTGACTACTTCTGTGCATTCAGCTCTAGCCTGTAATTGAGCTTTTGAACATAAATACAGGCAAACCTTTCCACCTCTTGCTCAAGAATATAGAAAGGAAGAGAGGCATGCTAGGGAGTGTTTGGAGGGGGCAAGAATGGGAGACTTGGATTGGCAAAGCGGGGAGGTAAATGGAATAAGGAAGTAGGCAGGATTAGTAGGTATGGGCTTGTTTTGGAACTATGATGGATCTGGAAAAAGTTGCTAGATCTGGGTAGATGAAAAGTCAGAACTCTGGAGTTACATAACTGGAGAAGACAATTGTGGAGGTATGGAGAAAACTGGAGGAATAAATCTTTTAAGTTTGGGGAAGGAATAGATGAGTTGGTCAGCTCAGGCAGATTTCTCCTGTGCTACTGTTTCAGAAATGACAATTGAGGTACTATGTTGAGCCCACCCAAACTCTTCCTGCTTGGCCTAGTCATGTGAGCTAGAGATAAACAAATTATGTGCTTTAAATAGTTGGCATTCAGCAGAATCATCCGGGTCATATTGAGCTTTACAGTTCTGACAGCAGTTTTTCACACTAGTGATCCAGGGAATCTGGCATTACAAGAGGTTAGGAGCTAGGGTAAGGCAAAGAAAATTTTTTTTCTCAGCGATGCCTTTCTAGAAATGGATTGCAAACCATGTTATTGTGGGGATAATGTTGCCAGCTGGAGGTTTGTCACTGTCTGCAGAGTTCTGTTAAGAAAGTGGTTTCACTTTCTGCTAGTAATAGCTCTCAGAAGGACAGGTTGTGGAAATACTTACATTAGCGGAAACATCAGAAATGTTAGTGGGTATATATAGGGCCACTTAAATGATCAGAGGGCTGGAGAACCTCTCCTATAAAGAAAGGTTGAAGGAACTGGACTTCTTTAGCTGGGATAAGAGAAGGCTCTACAGGGACCTCAGGTACCTTCCAATACCTGAAGGTAGCATATTGGAGGGGGAACAGGAAGGGCTGTTTGTAAGGGTGGATAGTGATAGGACAAAGGGGAAAGGTTTTAAACTGAAACAAGGGAGGTTTAGGTTAGATATTAGGAGGAAGTTTTTCACTCAGAGGGTGGTGATGCACTGGAACAGGTTGCCCAAGGAGGTTGTGGATGCCCCATCCCTGGAAGGCATTGAAGGCCAGGCTGGATGTGGCTCTGGGCAGCCTGGTCTGGTGGTTGGCGACCCTGGACATAGCAGGGGGGTTGAAACTGGATGATCATTATGGTCCTTTTCAACCCAGGCCATTCTATGATACTGTGATAACAGTAAGTTAAATGAGCAAGACTTTGCGCATTCCGCGCCACCCCGCGAGGTGAAATCTCGGGGGGGGGGGCCGCCGCAATCTATACAAGAAATATTAGGATAATCTGAATTTGGGCTTCCTTTTTATAAGTAATGTTTATATGAATGGGTTCTTGACTACGTATTTCTTGAAAGTATTTTTTTACTCCCTTTCTGTTTCTGAATACATAGAAATTTATCTATTTAATCAAACTTTTTAAAAACAATTCTATTTCAAATATTTTTTTTCTCAAGTAGATAAATATACATTGATTGTATTAAATGAAGTTAGTTTGAAGTATTTCATCCATTTCACTGGCTTTAGAATTACGTATATATGAAAAAGAATCCAAATATCAGTGCTATTTATACATAAATTAAACATCTTCCTAAATCAGTAAGTGACTCTGAGGTCACTGCTACACATTTTTTAGGAGTTGAACAGTATCTTTATACTTTCTTTTCACTGTTGCTGCATGGAAGCTTTTCATGGAAGTGGTTAAACTGACTGCTACTGATTGTGCTGTGCTGTAAGCAAAGCGAAGAGTAGGGAGCAGCTTAACTCTTCCCCTTGATTTGCTGGTAATGGCCTGTACTGTTGTTCATTTTAACTGCTGCTGTCAGCCTGGTCGGAAGATTTGTGTGCAGCAGAAGGCAAAACCCCTGACTTTGAATTAATGTTTCTCATTCAATCTGTAAAGTCAGTGTGTAAATGTACCTCTAGGTGACCAAGAAATGTGTAATAGGAGGAGCATCATAAATTGCACTGAAGAATGGTTTCTTTGCAGGCCAAAATAATTTTACTTACTAGCTGGAAGAAGATTTAAGAAACTTTCAAAAAATATATTAATCCAGTATAAGTACAGTGAAGTTTTGATCAATAAGTGCACTATATTTAAAATAAATTGTTATAAGAATTCCAGGTGTAAATATAAGACTGTTTCTAGGGTTTTGCTTACTGCAAGAGGATCAAATGAGTCTAAACTTACTTAATTGATTTGAGTGGCTCTAAATGATTTTTTTTCAAGAAGAAAAAGATGGCAACTTGCTGCATAGTTACCATGCTCACAAAAACACGTAGGTATTTAGAAACACCTTTCAGCAGATACGTGAAGATACTACCAACAGTAACCTCCGTGTGTTCTAGAATAACTTTAATTGAAATTGTATGGAAATCAGTCATTCTAAGCAGGCAGCTCTTCATATAAATATTTTTCTTTGGAAGTATGCAAGCAGTTTTAAAAGTAAAGGGAGAACTATAATGTTCCAGTAGATCAGGCACATGTTAACTGGTGTATAGAAAACAGCTTGAAACAAAAGAAAAAGATCAACCTTGAAAGTAGTTTTGAAGGCCTTGGCAGGATTGGGATTGGGAGACTGGGTGAATATGCTTACTGATAAGGGCACAGGTGGGCAGAAGTTGTTTTCATTCTGTCCTTAACAGGTTAGAGCGTTGTAAGAAGGCAAGTTTCCTTGATGTCGTCTTTGGAGTGGCTATTTTTAATCCTATCTATGTGATCATATGCGTATGGAATTATGTATAAATAAATCTCTTTTCTTATTTTGTGCAGAATCAGATTCAGTACCTCAAGCAAGTCCAGCAGCCTAGTGTTGCCCAACTGCGATCAACAATGGTGGACCCAGCCATCAACTTGTTTTTCCTAAAAATGAAAGGTGAACTGGAACAGACTAAAGACAAACTGGAACAAGCCCAAAATGAACTGAGTGCCTGGAAATTTACGCCTGATAGGTAAACAAAACAAATACTCCCCAGTCAAGACTTCCCTGACAGTCCCACTACGAGAATGCTATGGTGGGACAGCCAAGTACTCGTTTCCACACCAAGACTCAGACGTTTTGAGGCAAAAGCCACATTCTTATACTGTCCAGCTTGTAATGCTTAATGTAAAACTTACCAGATGAACCTTGTGTTTCAGCTTTTTTCTCCCCCTTTGCTTCAGAGGCCTGACGGCGTCGGACTATTCTGAAGAAATTGCCATCTCCGAAAAAAAAATATTTTCTAGAACACGTAGACATTTGCAAAATTGTTCTATTTGAAGAAAATAGAGGGAAAAACAGAAGTCTTAAGTCTGTGGCACACTGTGTCTACAGACAGTTTGGAGGAAAGAACCTAGAGATTATAAATCATGAATTGAACATGCAAAATTCCCGTAAAATGTAGAAGTGGAATATGCTTCGCTCTTAACCTTGAGCCTAGTGACTTAGAGACACTAAGTCAGTTTTCCAATAAGACTGTGGACTTCCTGCTTGTTCACTGAACTGCTGGGTCAAAACTCGATGAGGTGAATTTTGCATTAAAGAGTTTACTTGCTAACCACTTTTGAATAGCCACGAGAGTGCTATTTGATATCACGTCAGTGGTAGTGTACACATTTGACTGTTAAGCATTCGGGCTCTGTAACACCTGACGGAGCCTTAAGTCAATGTTGCTAAATAATGAACTGTTCTGGATGGTTGGTAATGCTGTGGACGCCTCAAAATTAGGACTGTACAAGAGCGTACATTCAATCCAATTGCAAGTTTAAAGTTGTCGGAAGCAGTATATATTTGATCACAACTAGCATGTATAAGAAAAACTAGTTGTGATAAGTATTCCGCTGCATGTTTTCATGCAGAAGTGAGATTTTTTTTGATCTTCTATATTAACTGATCTCAAATGCTCTATGCGGAAGGCACACAATGACAGCTGTCTTCAGTGTTGGTGGGGTGTTTTTATTCCTTTGTACACCTGTTTTTTTTTGTATTGCACTTCTATATAAAATGTGCCTTGAAATAGTTGTAATATATAGTTCAAGGAACACTATTGGTTATATTGTTGTACTGTGAAACTCCTGGGATGAACGAGAATCAAACAGGTTGTTGTTTCTGCATTGTCTCGTTCTCTGAATTTAAAAAAAAAAAAAAAAAATTAACAAAGCACAAGAAGTTAAATGCATGCATTTTCCTTGGTGGAATCAGTGAAGGAGCCTTTTCTACTCTATTGATGCCTCTGTTCTGTTGTCCCCAAGCAACAAGGGACAGCTGGGAGTGCAGATCTGAGGTGTGTAAAGTGAAATGCAGATTTGATACAGCGTTTGTATATTTATTTTTTATCTTGGCAAACTGAGCTCTAGTACAGTAAGTTTTTGATTTTTTCAAATCAATTGGGTGACACTTTATGACTGTCTGATTCTAGTAAATGCAGTTTTAAGTTAAAAAGAGATTCAGCTGTCACAGAAGGTGATGTATTCTCTTTCAATGATTTTAACTAAGGTAATGTTACATATTTTTAACTTAAAAGTATCACCTGTGCTTTAGATGGATTAATATGGGATTGAAGATTAGTGTACTTGTGCAGATTTATTTTTTTGCATGAGTAATGATTTAACAGCAAAGAAAAACATCTAGAAAAACTTTTAAGTGATTCATCTGGGATTATTTTGCTATAGCAGAGTCTAAGATTTTAATGATCTAGCAGCAAAACAGAGGTAAGACTTGCATTAATAAACTGTTAATGTGTTGCCAAGGCATTTGTAAAGCTTACTATGTGTTGATAGAGACATGCCGTGTAGATTGCTTGTTTTATGTGTAGTTCAGAAATGATTTAAATGCCGTTAAGCACAGGTTGGTTGGTTTCCTCTAGTTCTCAGACTCTTAAATGAGACACGAGTAACTATTACCAGTTTCCTTCAAGCAAAAGTATCAAATTTTTGTCACTTCTGTAGCTACGTTGTGCTTTAATGTGCATCATCTAATTTTAAATCACAGTGGTGTGAATGTGCATACTGAAATAAGCAGTAGTTGGAGTAGAGAAGATTTAGATTTATTTCCTGGTATAGAATTGAAGCTATTTTCATGACTGCTCATAATTTTTTAAAAAATATTTCTGAAAGGGCAAAGAAATTGTTAATCATGTAAACCATTCATAGAATTTTTAGTTCTTTGCCCTTCTTCCCCCTCTTGGTTTTAATTGCCCTTCCTTGTACGCAACCACTTATTTCATGATATCTGACCGAGTATCTAAAAGAGCTGATGCTTCTATTGACATCACCAGCTTTGTGTGTTCTTGAAGTAATATGTTGATTGCAACACTAAGCAGTATTAGGTTCTGGACCTTAACCAAAGATAAGAGTGCACAGTGTAATCCTTACTAATGCCTAGAGAGAGAAATAGAAGGGCATATAATTGAGGGGATGGCTTTGTTAAGCTGTTTGAACCATCATTATGCATACAATGTACGTTTGAATTAAAAATCAGTAATATCAATTGCAAGAAGCTTAATACTACAAACAGTAGTTTTCTGAAACTTAACCACTTAATTCTTCCAGGTTTTGTTGCATGTATGTTCAAGTGGATTTGTGAAAACAATGCCAAGTTTAGTTTTAAAGCTATTAGGAATTACATTTTATAGTTACTGCATTTGATATTCTTGCATGTGTTGTCTTCTGTGTGAATTGCAAGGGAAGGCTACTTGGTGCCATGCTAACTCAAAACATCTGGAAAAAACTTGATGGAAAGAAATAGCATTATAGGTAACTATGCAAATTTCTATACAGGTAATAAATATTTTACATTTTGGCAGGAATTACATGAAGGAATTAATGAGATTTTTAGTACTGTCCCGATGTCCAGCTACCTGGTACTTCTAATTCTGCAGGTGACATTGTTTTGTGGAGAGAAAAAACAGTAATGACTTCAGCACTGTGAACTCCTTAAACTTGCAGTGAATGATGAATACAGTAACAAGGATTTGCAAATGCCTAAAAATCAATACACATCTGCCTAAAAGCTTTTGGGGGTACATCACATTGGTCATCTCCAAAGCAGTCCTCCTTCTTTGCACTGAATGAACATCTCTAAGAAAACTTGCATCTTGTGTTACATGGATTGTATTAGCTCAACACAATTTAAGCTTCAAGGACCCGACATTGGACATCACATCAAGAAAGAAAACAGGTTGCTGCCTTTAGCAGAGTTGCAGGCTTCCAGGACTTTATGCAGCCAGATTCCTTCTGGAGCAGCCCATCTGAAAGATTTGGGAGAGTCAGTTGGAAAATGTTCAGTGAGGCAGAGTTTGCAGAGTTTAAAATTGTTTGAGGCTTGAATGTTTAAAAGGTAGTTGATAAGAAAATTACTATTTTAAATTCTTTTTTATTGGTTGTATTGGTTACAGGAGAGAAAGAACTATGGCTGTGAATCACAGTAGTGGAAGTTTCCTATTTTTTTAATCCTCAAAATTTCTTTCTTTATCACTTAAAACTTAAATGACCTTCTTGCTCTTGGAAAGTAGTACAAATCCTGCCCTTGAATTCACAACAAACCTGTTCATGGCTTATATTTTTTATTTTTTTAGATATTTTTTGCTACAGAGCTTATGCTTCTGTAGAAAGAGATATTCATTGTGTTGCTGAGTCTTGTGAAAGAACTGATTGTGATCACTGTTCTGATTTTGGCAGACAGTTTTGAAGGACTTGAACCCTTTTACGGAGTCAGCCATATTGCCTATATATTAATTTGCATACTACTTCCTATAATGCTTTACAGTACAATTCTATTCGTGAAGATTAAAGATGTGATGTTACCTATTTAGCAGAGAATATCTTGAAAGTTCAGAGTACCTTTTTCTGCCCACTTCTCGAAGAAACTGGATATTCTAAAACATTTATGATCTGAACCTGTCATTCTAAATGAGTGTTACGGCTTCCTTAATTTCCTGCCAACTTTTAACTGCATTTTGCTTTCTCTTCATTGTGTAACATGTGCTTAGCAAAAGCTGACTATAGGAAGCATGAAACACTGTACACTGCTCTACACTGTACAACTGCAGATGGAGTTGAAAAGCAGACATGCAACTCTTCTAAACATTCAGAGGAATGTCTTAACCTCTCAGAAAAAAAAAACCTGATGTTGCTTTAAACATAATGCTCATTTTTTTTTTTTTTTTTTTAATATTTTTCCCCAATCTTGTTCTTAGTTTTACTTGTATGATAAAGGAAGAATTTAATGGTTCAGTTTACACATTTTTTTTAATGCAGTGTTTAATCTTTAAAATTGCAAGGCACATCTTTAATCACTTAACTCAGTTGAGAATTAGCACATGCAAGATTGTGCGGACTGATAATCCAGATTTTGGTATCGAAAAAGAGCAATGCTTGTTCACATTTACAGTAATAAAACTTGCCTTCCGCTTTATGGGACACGGACAGAAGATCAACTGACGCTGGAACAGCACGTGGTAATATAGGGAGATTTTCTGCTATGACAATTATGTTGAGACATAATGTTATGTGAATTGTGACATGCAGAAATTGTATCTCCTTTTTGTCTGTATTTGTGATTGAGGAAGATTGCAGAAGGTTTTATATTCAATTTGTGATAGATTGGTTCTTTCCTTTGCAGCCAAACAGGCAAAAAGTTAATGGCGAAGTGTCGAATGCTTATCCAGGAGAATCAAGAGCTTGGAAGGCAGCTGTCCCAAGGACGTATTGCACAGCTTGAGGCAGAGTTGGCTTTACAGAAGAAATATAGTGAGGAACTTAAAAGCAGTCAGGATGGTAAGGGATTTTATTAAGAAAATGGAAGTTGCCTTGCACTTCTGCTAGCTTAATTTTCTGATGATATGGATACTGTAAAATCTTTGCCAGAATTAAAGGGCAACATCAAGTAAAATGTGACTGTTGTAAGTCTATTGGTGGTCTTAATTTAATTAAAAAAAAAAAAAAAAAAAAGCCACCAAAAACTAGAATAGAGAAACTTTAGAGTACTTGTGGGATTTGCAGCTCCCAGTAATGCGAGATTTGAACATGAAACTACTAGACTTTGTAGGTCTTGCTATTTAACATGGGATATTAAGGTAAGCATGCACTGAAAACAGAAAGCTTCTTGTTAAATGACTCATTTTGTAATTACTTGAAGGGGAAAAAATGTGTAAGAAGAACAGAAGTGCAGTTTTTGATTAAGTAACTCAGATTAATTAAAATGTTCTGTTATTGTATTCGTAGTCCAAATTTTACAGCACTGTGAACCTAAATTGGAATTAGCTGTAATCTCTGGCCTCTTATATATTTTAAATGGTGGGGAAATGCGAACTTTAAAAATCTTCAGCAGAGAGTTCAGCCTAGATTCAGTGTTCTTTGAGATGCTTGATGAAAGTACTCGAAGTTTGGCAGATAACACAATAGATGATTTGATTATTACACTTAATCTTGAGACAGGCTAATTAATTAAATCCAGGCATCTTTGTTTCACACCTGGCATCTGTAAGATAGCATGGGCATGATTTGGCATTTGTCTAATATATCCTGTATTCTTTAAAGATTTCTGCTCGGGTGCAGTATACTAAAGTAAGCTGCAGAACTGTGATGTTCTTAGGCCCTGGCTTCTACCTCATATAAACAGTGACGATGATAATCCTGACATTTTCCTAGTGGTTTTTTTCATAGTAGTGGGCATTTAATTTTGATTTTTACAGCAATAGGCAGTTTGCATGTTATTTCCTCAGTCATGTGAATATGCAGTTGAATTTGGGCTGCAACGTTTATCTTTCAGGTCAAATTCTTACTGGGCCAAAATGCAATCCCAGTTGTAAAGGAGTTTTTTTCTTTGTACATAAGTACTTTGTGGAATTAACAACTTCTGTGGGTTATAAATTCAACAAAAGTTTACCCTTTTTCTTTGTCACACTACACGAGATTAAATGTATTAAAAGCAGTCAGAGCTGACATTTCCTTGAAATGTGACTAAAATTTTTTTTGTTACTGAGTAAATTTTTGTGAGTATTCAGAACTATCAAATGCAGATAAGCTTTATGGTCACTCTTAGAGTATTTCAGAAATTCCTTGCGCTTCAGTAAAAGTAGATATGTTAGAATCTCCTTGCAAAATAGTAATTATTGGAATTGAGCTGCTTTCCATATATCTTCTTGTCCAGAAATGAATTTCTTCTCATATATCCAAAGTCATAAATATAACAAGTATAGTTGGCAGTTTAACATTTCCTTCAGAGTATCAAAATGGTGTGCATATCTAATGATTGAAAGAGTTGGTTGAGTAACTTCAGCATAAGATACTGCTACAAGATTTAAATTTTCTTGTCTGACGTGCAAGCTATATGTGGGTTATTAAGTATTTGCAACACATGTGTTTTCTTTATTTAGAATTGAATGACTTCATCATCCAGCTTGATGAGGAGGTAGAGGGTATGCAGAGTACCATTCTAGTGCTTCAGCAGCAGTTGAAGGAGACTCGCCAGCAGTTGGCGCAGTACCAGCAGCAGCAGTCCCAGGTCTCCAACCCAGGTACCAGCAGGACTCCATCTTCTGAGCCTACAGACCAGGGAGAGGCTGTGGGTAAAGACTGCAGCCGTCTGGCTAACGGACCAAGCAATGGTAGCTCCTCCCATCAGCGGACGTCTGGGCCTGGATTTTATAGGGAGGGTAGCAGCACAGAAGATGACTTCCCGGCTTCTCCAGGGAATGGTAATAAGCTGTCCAACCACTCTGAAGATAGAACTGGTAGAGGAGGTGGTAGCTACATAAACCAACTCAGTACTGGGTATGAAAGTGTAGACTCTCCCACTGGCAGTGAAAACTCTCTCACTCACCATTCAAATGACACAGACTCCAATCATGATCCTCAAGAGGAGAAAACAGTAAGCATGAAAGGTAACAGAACTGCGGGTTCTCGGCATGTCCAGAATGGTTTGGACTCCAATGTAAATGTGCAGGGTTCAGTTTTGTAACATTTTTCTGCAGCATTTTTATACAGTGTCATTTAAATTGGGAGAGGATACTGTTCAGAAGCTGTTATTAAATTAGTGCATACTTGTCACAATTTTTGCCTTTTTGTGGATTTCTTTTTGCTTCAATACCTCTGCCACTTTGGGAATTTTAACAGTTAATTACGTTGAATGTTGCTAAAAGGACATTTGTGTAGCTCAAGTTATTTTTATATGAGTTAATGTGAAGTTGAAATGGAAATTCTTTCCATAAAGTATAACATAAATGATGTCTGTACAAATCTGTGTATATCTAGAACCTGTGCTGTGTAAGGGCATTCTTACTCATACTGTTATACTTAACACCACCTTTGAGATTTGTCATAATATCTGTGGGTTTATGACTGCCAAGTTTGCCCAGTACAGTAGTTTTATCACTAAAAGATGGACTTGCTGAAGGAGTCCTTTAGTAGTTTCAGTGTTAATTACAGTTTTTCCCACCATACATCTGTGCATTTTCTCCTTAGGTGACCGAATGTTTATGAATTGTGTGCATAGTTACTCAGTTTTTAAGAACTGTTGTATCCTGTTTATGCATATTGCTCTGTGACTCCAATATTATCTTACCTGTACTGACCAAACCTAAATAAAAACTTTTAATAATGTAATTTCCTCATTGTTCTCCATTGGCTTACACGGCTTACTTGTATGGGCTGTAATACTTCTTAAATTGAATTTGTTTCTGTGCCAATCCTGTCTAATACAGCTTATGCCAAGTACCTGTGCTTATAACTATCATGTTGATTTCAGGCCAGCCTTTTAGTATTTATTCTACGGAGATTTTTTTCCTTATTGATAGATTTAAAAAAAAAAAAAAAAAGACAACTAATAAAAGCAAGCTTCATAGTTAGAACCTGGCTCTTATTAAAACTTGGGAAGTATCCTGGAGGTAAATGTACAAACTAAATTATGACACTTCAAAGAGGTTGAATTACTTAAGATGATACAATTTTTGATTAGTCTACATGAGGGGAAGCTTAGTGAACTGACTTTGCAGGTGTTGCAAGTGGAGGGTAGGGGGGGAGCACACTTAGACTGAACAAAAGCAAGTTATGAATTTCTCAGACTTGAATTTCTGGTGGTTTTTGTTCACTGGTTTGTGGTGGTAGCAATATGCAAGGTAATGAAAAGGGTACTGACTTCAGTAAGTGCTGTCCAAAGGGCAAAAATGAAAGCATTTAACTACTTTCAGGTGGACTTAAATCTGGTTTCAGCATTTTCCTAACACAATCCTGCAATTACCAGGCAGCTAATGCAGTTCTCTCACATGCAATAAAAAACTGGCAGTGAATGCTGAAACTGTTGCTTGAAAGCAGTATTTCTCTAAAGTTAGGAAATACTTGGGTGTAACTGCAGTTTAGTCAATAAAATCATAGATTATAGAGGAGCTTCCAGGGTATTAAATGAGAACTAGCACCTGTAGTATTACTGTCCACAAAAAAATGTAATTAGTTGCAACTGTTAGTAGCCTTTGTGTATGCTGGAAACATACTAGTCTATGTACTAATGCTACTTTAATTTCGTAGAGCTTAGATGTTTGAAACAACTTGGCAGTCACTGGAGGCATTAATTCCATTGGCAATAACGTCATGGGTTTTTTTTTGGAATGTTACTTCAGCCCTTATTACCTGAAAAATGGCTGTTAATGGACAGTTGAGCATATAGAAATTAAGTGACATAAAAAAAAAAAACTGGCATCTAAAGTAATTTCTGGTGTACAAAAAGTTCCCTAATTTTCATGTGTATATTGTACTTCAGTTACTTTGTAGCTATTGTAAGTCTAAAAGGATAGTAATAATAAAATGATAGTAATAGACAGTTCCAATTACTTGATAATTGATATGGTACAAAGCCTTGCGAGAGTGTTGGTGGTTGAAATCTACCTGAAATATGGAAGAAACTCGTTGAGAAGATGGCATCTAGGATAAGGAATTAGATAAGAATTATTTTTGGAGTTGAAGTAATGGCTATTGTACTGTAAGGGAGGGGCAACTTTTCACTTAAATGTATCAGTTATTGTGGGAAATCAGGTCTTAAGTTCGTGAAGATCTGAATTTTCTCAAGAGCGTGTGGTGCTTTTAATAGTTAAAAAAAGAAAACAAAACCATACAACTTAGCTAAATAGCTGGAAAGTTAGAAATGCAAATGATAACTGCATACTAAGCATTGGCTTAACTTGGAAAATAAATGCAGGGCAAGAAAAGCCATTCCATTTGTCATTCTCTGCTTAAAAGTTACCTCCTAAATAAGCAGGCTGGGATGTTACATTTTTTTATCAATAATTTTTATTTTAAATGAAAGCATAATTTAAAACCATCATGTAATTGGCTTGCTTTTTTGCAATGCTTGCTGTAAAGCAGTAGTGAAATGCAGTATAATAATACACAGATAAATTTAAAATCAATAATGTTCACGTTCTGGCTGTCCATACATACAGCGTATGTTATGGCTGTTAATAATCCTGGAGATGACTGTCGATACATTATTTTCAGTTTTCAGGAAAATCCTGTTTTCAGTTTGATTTTGGTTAAGATTATTCATCGTGTGTTCATTAGATTTCTAGAGTACAGCTGGCTGATAACTAAACATTAAGTTTGCATGGTGTTCTAGGGCCCTTTAAAGGGCCATTGAAGGAAGAACTACCATTCTGTACATCTGTGCATTACAATGCACTTTGATTCCCTTTGTGGAGCTCTCCATGCGGGTTTGCTGGTAAATTCCAAGATGAGGTAAGTTATTCTAAACACAGTCATTCAGACTTCACCCCTTCCATTGTTTTTTGTTTGTTTATTTGGTCCTATAAAAGATCTCTGAACATAAGTGCTTATTTAAATAAGACTAAAAAGCAGAAATAGTTGTTTGTGTTAGCAAAGATGTTTTCCCCGATAATTTGAATTGAACTTCATCTAGTGTTAGTCTTGATTTTACAGAATGCTTCATAACTTTGAGGGAAGGATTCTCTTCTCTGGCCCTATGGGAGAACTAATTTTTCATGTTTTTTTGAACTCTTTTGCACTTACTATTCAATACTGATTATTTTAGCTGATGGAATTAAGGTGCACGAAGCATTCTCACGAGCATTAATGGCCGTGCATGATGGGAGAAAATGGATATTGGAAAACGAGATACGCAGAGAAGTGAGGAAGAGAACTGAAATGGAGCAAAAGTAAGTAGATCAAATTGATAAAAAGATGTTGGTATGCGCCTCGTTCCCAGCAATTGAGGTGGATAACTCCTAATGGCAACGGACCTTTGAAGGGCAACACCAGGCTGCTTGCAAGCCCTGGTACAAGCTGCTGCCTGCCTCTGCTTCCAGTACTGACACTCAGGGGTTTCCAGTGCCTCTGCTGCGTGCCCAGGCGTAACAGGATGAAGTGACAGATGAAGTCAAAAGACCTCTGTATTCACTTTCTGCTTAAAAATGTCTAAGAAATTGACTTGTTGCTTCACACTGCGGTACACTGAAAATGGTGAAATGTGAAGCATTCTACATGCCTGCTCCACAAATCATTGCATTTAAAGTCAAGGGATGGCTACGTTTGATGTGTCTATAATAATAAAAAACAGAGGAGGACATGTAAACTGTCTGTTTAACAGTTCTTTCTGTAGCCCACCACTACTGTATTATGAAGCCCTGAGAACATCCCATTCTGCATGTGTCAAATTCTGACAGATTCTTGCAGCTTATGGCTCATACAAAATATGATTATAAATGGGAAAAATATGGACTCCTGAAGTCAAAGGGAACTGCTGTGGTGTATTTGGTGGGCTGCTATCAGGCCAGCTGCCAAGCCTTGCTGCAGCAAGCTCTCAGGGCTGAGCTGCCTGCTTCTGGCAGCACTGCTCGTGCATGAGTAAGAGCTGGACAGCAATGTGCAGGCGTCTTTGACAGAGCTTTCTCTTCCTCTCTTTACTTACCTTGTGGACCTTTTTTTTCTCTCTGTTCTGGAGCTATCACAGGGAGCATTGTGCTCTTGCTAGTGTTGCTTAGAAAAATGACCTTTCCTATTTCTGCTTGATTTTAACCTCTGGAACATGTAGGGGCTGATCTAAGCAACCTTTTTTTTTCTGTAAATTGGATTGAGCATGCTGTACGTAACTTTTTTTTCACGCACCATTTCAAAGTCTTAATGCATTGCAACTGATCCTCACAAGCGGTGTACCTCCTTTTTCCTATCCAGTTAGTGTTGCCTGTTGACTTCTTTATATTCCCAAGGTTATGGCTTCTACTAGGACCGTTGGCTCGGGACCTGACCCAAACGGGATGGAACCCCGTTAGCCATGGCTCTATCGGTGAGCTGATGTTCACTGCTCCGTTGTACCACTGGTCTGGTAAGAGAGACAGCGGGTTCACCTTCTACCTTGTGCTGTACAGGGCACTAACGGCGCACGTCTTTCAAACACAAACAGCGGTCAGTGACTCAAGCTCTCGAAACCACCGCTACCGATCCTTTCTCAGACGCCCGCCCCTCCTCGTCCCGCCGGGAGGCCCCGCCCCAGCAGTGCGGGCGCAGGCGCGGAGTGCCGTCGGTGCGGTGCCCGCAGAGAGGTGGCCGCCATGTTGTGCCGCCTGGCCTCGGCGGGCAGGTGAGAGTCGCGACGCGCCGCCGCTGGGAGGGAGGAGAGGTGGGGGGCGCCGTGCTCGCCGCCGCCCTGCAGCGTGAGGGGCGGCAGGGCCCTGGGCTTCCGCGTCTGGGCCGCGGGACGGGGCGGAGGAAGGGGCACCTCCTGTTGTCCCCTCCATTTCGGGAAGAGGGGGTGGCGGTGCCAGCGATGGTCCCGCGAGGTGCAGCCGAGCCGGGCAGCGCGGCCGAGATCGGCCTCTTTAGCGCTGTGGGATTTCGACCCTTTTTCGTATCAAGGTCACCTGTGCAATGGCCCTCGGGGCTGGCCTTCCTCCCAGCTCAGAGCGCTTCCTGTCGTTACGACGCAAGAACGTGGGTTAGGAGGTGGCATCTCTGTATCCAGAAGCCCCTGTATCGGTGACCTTCACGTGGGCAGCTGGCTGTAGCAGGCCAGCGTTTCACTCTGCTGAAGTGGTGAAGCACAAGTGCTGTGTGAGACTGCTGCTTCCTTTTCTCGTTTCTCATCTAGAAGCAGGGCTGCGTTGGTAGCACCCTTAGGGTGCTCGGTCGCAAGGCAAAAGCACACTCTTCCTGACCTGCCCTATGACTATGGCGCGCTGGAGCCCCACATCAGTGCAGAGATCATGCAGCTGCACCACAACAAACACCACGCCACCTACGTGAACAACCTGAACGTTACGGAGGAGAAATACAAAGAGGCGCTGGCGAAAGGTGCGTATGGCCATCGTCAGCAGGTGAGGAGAGACAGTGTGAGCTGTTGTGGATTTATGCTAGTGACTGGGATCAAAGGCAGAGTCAGTAGGAAGTTGCCCCTGAGAAATACAAGTGATTTGCTTGAATACAGAATGTTAGTTACATATGAAAGCTTAGAGATGTTCAGATGGACTTGTAAGCCTAATAATAATAACTTGTGCAGTTTGAGTTAATGAATGAATGAGCTTTGATGAAGATTCAAGCAAACAAAATTGGCTGTTGCTTTGTCATGCTAATGGTGGAGCCAGGAAAGCTGTATTCCAGGGGTT